TGAGCTAGCGCCCGCCCTCTCTAAACTATATAATTACTGCCCCAAGAAATCCTGTTTCCTGACTGCTGGAATCCTCATCCATTGTTCCTGTCTTTAAGAACTCTGGAGACCCCTCTGACGACTCTAATTACCGTCCTATTAATCTCCTACCCCTTTGCGGCAAAGTGTTCGAAGCCCTAATCAATGCCGAAGTGGTTAACCACCTTACATCCCATGATCTGCTCTCAGACAAGCAATATGGCTTCTGCTTTGCCCGATCTACAGCTGATGTGCTTACGGCCATCACTGAAACCGTCTACCAAGCCCTTCAAAATAACGGTGAAGCTCGTGCCGTGGCCCTAGACATCTCCAAAGCGTTTGATAGGGTTTGCCATGCCGGCCTTCTTCGCAAGCTCCAGGTTTATGGTATTACACGTCGATTGTTTGACCTAATACAATCATTCCTGTCAAAAAGTGAATTGAAGGTCGTTCTCAACGGATTCTCCTCCAGTTCCTATTCCACGAACGCAAGTGTTCCCCAAGGCTCCATTCTTGGCCCCACTCTATTCCTTATTTTCATCAACGACCTTTCTGACGTCATAGATTCCCAAGTTGGCATCTACGCGGACGACACTACAATTTACTCCTGCCTCAAAAACAAATCTAGTGTCGGTGACAAAACTAACCCGGCCGTGCGTCTTGAAATGGACCTCCAATCGGTTGTTAATTGGGGCAAGAATTGGCTGGTCAACTTTAATGCCTCAAAAACTAAACTACTCTCTATTAATCACCATAGAGATCCTTCCCTGTCCCCCATTAGAATGTCTGATAGTCAACTTCTTGAGAGCAACTCCCTGCATCTGCTCGGTCTCACGTTGAGATGGAACAAATACATTGAGTCAATTACTTCTTCCATCATGAGGAAAGTTGGCTCTCTGTGCCGCACCAGGAAATTTTTCTCCCCGGAATCAATACTTCAAACATACAGGTCGACTATTTGCCCTTGCATGGAGTATTGCTGCCATATATGGTCTGGGGCACCTTCTGTTTACCTCGGAGTTCTTGACAAGATCCAGAGACAGGTATGTAATATAATTGGCCCTGATCTGGCGTCTCGTCTACAGTCATTCTCTCACAGACGCGCCGTTGCCTCTCTTTGTCTTTTCTACATATACTTTCATGGTAATTGCTCCGATGAGCAGCTTTCACTGGTTCACAGACTCAATGAATTCAAGCGCCCTACGAGGCTGGCATCCCGCTCCCACCCTTACACTGTAGAAACTTTTAAATGTAGCCGTCTCTTCTACCTCGCACCTCTCGCCTGTGGAACACCCTTCCCAATTACTGTTTTCCTGAGAGCTATAATCTCCAACTATTCAAATGTAATGTCAATCGACATCTCCAGTTACCTTGATCTACCCACTATCCCTCTCCTCATCCTTTCTTCTATCACTCCTATCTGCTCTTGCTCCAAATCTTCTGCAACCCCCTGCATCCTAGTGGCTTCATGCCCTGCTCGGGGCGTAATGCTTAAAAAGAAAAACTTTAGAGAAGCCGCAACAATAAACATGCTAATGGGCTTATAAGAAGAAGAATGTTGTATGGAAATAAAACTGCAAGTTCGATTTTTAAAGGGCTATAGAGCAAGTTACAGTTAGCGATATAAAAAAAGTACAATATGCACCAGGATGACATTTGTATTGTTGCCATTAACGATGACGAATTAAAATGGAAAACCAGTATGGTTTTGAATAAGTTAAAAAATGCCGAATTAACAATTAATCAAAAATGTCTCTGCACAGCACTAAAAAAATATAATTTTGGGGATATTCCATATCTAACGAAGTCATATCACCAGACCAGTTGTTAATTGACAAAATATTAAAAGTTGACGTACCTAAGAATAAAAAAAGACTTTTAAATTTCTACAGATCACATGTAGAGCGATACTCCGAATTGACAGAAACTTTTGATGATTTAAAAAAAAGAATATGGAATTTATTTGGACTAAAAAAGAACAAATGGCATTTCAAAATTTAAAAGCTCTTCTGGCAAAGAATCCAGTAGTAAAATATTCGACGCTAGAAAGGAAATGGTTGTAACAAGTGACGCTAATGAACATTCAATTTCAATGTATCTTTCAAGAAGCGATGGTCACAATATGGAAGACAAATTCCTATTAAGGTTCGAACATAGACCTTCAAAATTTATATTTAATTCTAGAAAGAAACTTCCTAAGATAACGTATTCTATAATTCTAAGATGGGCCTTGATGCTGATGGGGTTTAACATTGATATTGAGTATGTGAAAGGCAATACTATTCCGTATGTAGACACTTTGTCGATTTGGGGTTCATTACTTCCGAATTGAGAAATAGCAGGAAAAATTCGAAGATACATTCTTACTCTGGGTCGAAACTGATATTTTGTCGATAGACAAATTACCCGAGGATACGAAGCGAGATCCCATAGTGAAAAGTATTTCAGAATAAAAAAATAAGTGGAATAATTTGCTCACGGACAGATAGGCGTTTTAAAGAGGTCAAACACAAGTTCACCGTAGAAAAGGGTGTAATTTGTAATAAAGACGTAGTCGTGCCGCCAGCAACGCAAATGAGGGAAATAATAAAAACCACACATGACAATGTTCAATGTGGAATAACGTCGACACAAAGGAGATTAAGGTTAGTGGCATTGTGGCCAGGCTATTCTACAAATGTAGAAGAATACGTAAAAAGGTGTAAAATGTGCATTGAAAGAACATTTAGACAAAAAACACATACATGGCCTAAAGAGTCCCGACCTTGGGATAGAGTACACATGTATCATGCCCATGTTAATGGAGTGGGGTTATTACTAATAGTGATAGATTCGTACTCAGGGTGGCAAAATGAAATACAGGTCTCCAAGAAAAGAAGTTCGACCGTGAAACAACCATTAAGGATAATTATTTTCAAGAAACGGAATTCTGAAAACGCTAGCCTCTGACAGCGTCCCAGAATGTTGTGACGAGGAACGAAATTATAAGCAAATAATATACCCCCATAGCATCAAACTGATTAGCAGAAAGAATGTTGCAAATTATAAAAAATGTGTTGGAAATATGTGTAGAACGGAAGGAAACGATGGGAAAATTTTTTCCTTGATTGTTGCTAAGTTATAGGACAAAACCACATACTGGAAGATCGAAAAGTCTCTCCACCCTCATGGGTAGATAAATTAGATCCTCATTCACCATCTCCTATACTACCAACGAAAAAATTTGGTATAAAAAGAATCGCGAATCTAATCTACAAAAGGCAAGATTCGTAATATAAAGTGGACAGAACATCATGCTAATAGAATAAAAATAAAAATGGGATATTACCGCATGTAGTTAGATTGAAAGAAGTGAATTATCTGTAAATTGCCGACATAGTTTATCCTTTTAACTTACAATATAGTTTTAAAAATTAATAATTAGGTGTTACCATTTCTTATGACCATAATTTATAAGTAAATAACGGTCCACCCTCTACGTGTAATTATCTAATTTTGTTTATTCAGATTTAGTATTGATATAAATTGCCGTTCAGTTAGTATTATTTATATCTTATATATATATATATATATATATATGTTCCACATTTTTAGTTTTATCTGAAGGTCCCTTTAAGAAGCTTCCTGAATCTGAAATTTAAAAAAAAATTCTGTTGAAATTAACTTTACGTCTGATTATCCTTCCTTCCCTCCCCTCAGAGTTCTTAAAAAAAAATTGAAGATTTCATATTTGTCTACAATCGCAATACATTTGTTGCTTACATGTTTTCCGTAATTGTCAATGATGACCTAAGTTCCGGTGTATAATGTCATGTAAAAATAACTCCCCCCACCTCCATCCTCTGAGCTTATCTTTCTATTTAGCGTAGATCTGACATTTAATTTGTTGATCAAGACAAACCCAGAAGTCTATTTTAAATTCTGACCTTGTGTTTTCTCACACACTTTATCTTTCAGTAAAGAGCTAACACTTTGCTTTTAAAATTTTCTTAAAAATTATTTCATCACCAGTCACTTACGATCGCCTGAAGAGGTACAACGTAGTGTCGAAACACGAAAGCTATTGTGTAGCGATTTTAACATATTTTTGTCATAATATCTTATAATAAAATAATAATAATATATTGCTCTGCTTTGTATTGAGCACTTTTTTAAAGTAAATGCTACGAACAGCGGAAATTTATTTCATCTGTTCTTTCAAACACACACACACACACACACACACACACACACACATATATATATATATATATATATATATATATACAGACAGACTGTTTCGCGGTATCGCAGCTCATCAGTGTGGCATCAGTTGAGATTCTACTCCTGAGCTATCAGCACCCGGTTGAGAGGAAGGCTAATTTTTACGTACTTATTCTTCGAATAAATACGTCAATGACCGAGAGGGCTCAATTCATGGAAGAGCTTTGCAGTATCAGCAATAATAATTACTGTTTACAAACTCGCGCTTTCTTTCAAGAGTGCTCGACCAGAATTAAATTTTCAGGAGGTGGGGGCGTATAGGCAAGATAAACTTTTTCAAATGATACTAAATAGTTCCTTCTAGCAAATAAACTGACCACTCCGCAAGGTTTCTCTAAATAACAAAGATAACACATAGCATCAGAAGCCTATTCTTCACTTCAGCGTCTCTCCTCATGAAATCAATTGCTCAAATGACGTTCTCAGATTGCTGTGACCCTTATTTAAACGCATCTAGTCAATTAACTAAAATGCTATTTTTTGTAGCTCTTCGACAAGCCTAAGCCCTGTATGATAAAAGGGTTCTGAAAAGCGTCTCAGAGAAATCTTTCTTGGACACCATTTCGATTCTTGTATCGATCAGTTCGGGTTCTGGCAACTACTATTCCAAACTTTTATTTTGTCTGTCGGCTGCGTTGAAGAGAAACCGCAACTTGTAAAAACATGGACAAAGGAATGGCCAACAAGTGTTGGAAATCTGAAATTTCTTCCAAAATTATATGTTTTATCTTGTTTGGCTTTGCGTTTTGTTTTTATTTATTTATTTATTTGTATTCTTCGCCTTACTTTATCAATTCTTACTCAAAATTCTTTCGTTTTCTCTCTCCTTTATTCCTACCTTACCTCCCTTTATCATTTATTTATTTCTCTCTTTTTATCTCTTTCTGTACTTATTTTTATTATTTCTTTTCTTAATTTCCATCTCCTCTCTCCCTTCCCCCTCTCTCTCTCTCTCCCTGTTTGTCTCTCTTTTTACCCAGTTTTCACTCTCTTGCTTTTTCAATCTTTCTTTACCACGTTAACTCATGTTCGATTTTTCACTCCTGCCTTTTTTTTCTTTTCGTTCTCTCTCTTTTTCTTTCTCTCTCCCTCTCACGCACACACGCACACTTTTTCTGTGTCTCTCTATCACATACACACAAACAAACATGCACACACACATATGACTTTTTTTTCTTTTCTATATCATATTGAATGTTATTTCCCGTTGTAAGCATTTCAGTACTACCTCAGCTAAAGCTCGCGTGCATCCAAGAATATCAATTTTTATTTCGTTATTTTTTCTTTATTTCTTTTTTCTTTCTTTCTACATTTGATCATTATTTCTTAATTTTTTATCCATTAGTCGATTATTTCTTTTTGTCTTTTTGTCTTTCAGTCTTTAATTCATTCTCAACTAATTGGTTCTGCTGGTTTTGCCTCTCTTTCTTACGCTACTGATTCTTTGTCTTTCTTTCTCTCTTTCTTTCTTTCTTTCTTAACCTTTTCTCTCTTTCTCAACCTGTTCATTATCTATCTATCTATCTATCTATCTATCTATCTATCTATCTCAACCAGTTATTTCTTTCCTTCTTTCTGCCTGTCTTTATTACTTCTCAACTAGTTCATTCATTCATTCTTTCTTTCTTTCGTTTTTTTTTTGTTTCTTTCTTTCCCGATTAGTTGTTGTTTTTTCCTATCTTGCTTTGTTTTCTTCTTCTTTTTTTTATTGTTCTTTCGCCTTTTCTTTCTTTGTCACTCTTTATCTCTCTCGTTGTTTTCTTTTTTCTCTCTCTTTCGATTTTTTTATATTTCATTTTTTAATTTTTTTTTTATCTGGAACTTTCTTACATACTATATCCATCGAATTTATATTTCTTAGTTTCTCTTTTACTTGCATCCCCTCCCCCTCTCTCTCCCTCCCTCTCTCCCTCTCATCTCTCTCTCTCTCTCTCTCTTTAAATTCTTTTCCTACAGCCTTCCCTTTCTCTATCCCTCTCTGAATCTTTTTTTTCATTTATTTCCTATCTTCCTTCCTCTTCTCTTCCACTCAACCTCCGTTCTATTCTTTATCTTCGTCTCTCTCTTTCTTTTCTTCCACTCTCTTTTTTCTTATTTTTCCCATCTTAGCTTCATTTTCCCATGTATTCCTTTTACATTTTCTTTCTCTATATATCTTTCTCTCTCTCTCTTTCTTGCCTCCGCCCTGTCCACTACTTTCCTTGTTTCATGTTCTCTCTCTCTCTCTCTATCTATCTATCTATCTATCTATCTATATTTAACTGTCTCTTTTTCTTTTCTACTGATTTTCTCCCTTTCTCTCTCTTTTCTGATCTCTTTCTATCATTATTTATTTTTCTCTCCCGCCTCTCTCTCTCCCTCTCTCTGTTTTCCACAATCCTTTCTCTCGCGATGTTTCCACCCTCTCTTTCTATGTATCTACCTAGCACTTTTTTCTGTTTTTTTCTCATTTACTTGTTCCATCTTGTCCATTCATTCGGCTTCTTTGATTTAATGCAAATTTTCATTCCTGCCATTTTCTCCACTCTTCTTAACTAGCTATTGTGTGTCCAAGAAAATCAACGCATGTTTCCCGCCTTTTACTTGGCGCTAATGCAATTTTCTTTCTTTCCCGCCATTACGTTTTATCACAATTTAGGGAGGAAAGTCTTCCTTCTACCCATTTGCTTTTCTTTATATTTGGCTATTGCTTCAGTTTATATGTTGGCTTTTTTTACTATCTTTTTTAAAGGGTGAAATTTTCATTGTCTTCTCAGATATCCCTCCCTCTTTTCTTACTAGTTTTTCAGATCTCCCTCCCTCTTTTCTTACTAGTAACCATACGTAGGTTGACTTCTTCTTCTTTTTTTACTTTATTCCTTTTTCTATCTTTTATTCTTTCTTTTATTCTTTAAAATTGTTAGACTCTTTTTCTCTGTAAGGCTTTTAACGTTTTCTTTCTTTCGTTCTTTTTTACAGATTTTAAAGAGTTATTTTTATTTCTTTAATTTACTGTCTTATTCATCAATTTACAGTTTTTTCTTAGTTTCGAAATTTTAACGTCTTTAACGTTTTATTACATTTTTTTTCATTTTTCATTCTTGCATCTTTTTACTCTTTCTTTTCTATGCATGTTTATTTTTACTTATTCTTGCGTTTTCTTCATTCATTTCTCTTTCTTTTTCTCTTAACTTCCTCTTTCTTTTTCTCATTCTTTCTTTCTTTTTCTTCCTTCTTTCTTCCTTTTTCTCTTTCTTTTTCTCATTCTTTCTTTCTTTTTCTTCCTTCTTTCTTCCTTTTTCTCTTTCTTTTTCTCATTCTTTCTTTTTCTTCCTTCTTTCTTCCTTTTTCTCATTTTTTCTCTTTCTTTTTCTCTTAACTTCCTCTTTCTTTTTCTCATACTTTCTTTTTCTTCCTTCTTTCTTCCTTTTCCTCATTTTTTCTCTTTCTTTTTCTCTTTTTTCGCATTCTTGCTTTATTTCTTTCTTTTCTCATTCTTTTCTCTTTCTTTTTCTCTTTCATTTCTTTTCTCATTCGTTCTTTATTTTTTCTTCCTTCCTTCCTTTCTTTTTCTCATTCTTTTCTCTTTCTTTTTCTCTTTCATTTCTCTTTCCTTTTCTCATTCGTTCTTTATTTTTCTTCCTTCCTTCCTTTCTTTTTCTCATTCTTTTCTCTTTCTTTTTCTCTTTCATTTCTCTTTCCTTTTCTCATTCGTTCTTTATTTTTTCTTCCTTCATTCCTTTTTCTTTTCTCATTCTTTTCTTTCTTTTCTCTTTCATTTCTCTTTCCTTTTCTCATTCGTTCTTTATTTTTTCTTCCTTCATTCCTTTCTTTTTCTCATTCTTTTCTCTTTCTTTTTCTCTTTTATTTCTCTTTCCTTTTCTCATTCGTTCTTTATTTTTCTTCCGTCTTTTTGTTTTCATTCTTTATTACATTTTATTTTGTTTTGTCACTTTTTTCTTTCTGTCTCGTTTCTTCTTTTTCTTTGTTCTTTTTTTTATTTTTTCTGCTTTTCATTCATTTTTTTCTTTTTTCATTCTTAATTCTGTTTTCATTCTCTTTTATTGCTTGCTCTTATTTATTCTTCCTTTCGTTTTTCCTTCTTACTTTCACCTTTTAATATTTTCATTCATCTGCCATTCTTTATTTCTTTTATTTTCATTCATTCTCTGCTTAATAGTAGTCTGACGGCCAAAGTAATTAAATGAAAAACAATTGGAATTAAGTTAGCATAAGCTGCTACTCAAAGATTTAAAATTCCTGACAATGCTTCGTCTTAGGAATAGTCAACGTAGACAATATTCTCTTCACCAGGGCGTATAAAATCTAAAGAAGGAACAATCATTAGAGAAAAAATCGAGTATTGCATGACACCAAAGATTAAAGAATTTCAGAAATTGATAACAGACGCTAGAAAATGCGACAGCGAAAATCAAAAGCACATTTCGACATATGCATTTAGAAACGAAAAATTGTTATATTATTATGAGATATGTGTTGTGTTATCAGGCGTTTTTCTAGGCGTGTTATTTGTTAATAAAAATTGCTGATTTTTTTTTTTAGTTTTAGATATAAAAAATAAATAAAAAACATTATTTACTTACTAAATTAAATATTATTAAGTATTATTTACTTACTAATGATTAAAAATATTATTTTATTTTCAGGTTATAAAAATGCGTGTCGATAATCATACGCTCCGGAATAATAATTTAAAAATGTTATTGTTGAATTGTTATGATTTTTTTTATAATAAATATTATTTGAAAAACGCCTGATTATTATGCACCAATCCAATATATAGCATTGGATACTAGAAAGTTTTAGCACAAAATGATGGAAAGATGCGAGACAAGTGAAATGACGTTGCACTGGCGTATGTTTAGAATATCATGGGCATTGTATACAGAAAAAAAGAAATTATAAAGAAAATAGGAACGAAGAATAAACTTCAGATAGTAACAGAAAGCAGTGGCTGAAGGTTCTAGAAAACATAATAAGAAAAGAAGACTCGGCTAATTTAATACTCAAAGGACACAAAGAAGACAAGATGAGCAAAGAGAAGCATCTAATAACCTGCTTAATAGATTTGAGCAAAGCGGTGAAGAAACAAGACCAGCAAAATCACAAATGAGCTCAAGAAGTAGAAAGTATTTCTGCGAGCAATAAAAGACGACCAGGAAAGTTTAGAGAGCCATTGATTGATTGATTCGTTTTCTACGGTTTATCAACCCTTTAGAGGTTATTTAAAGCCAGGAAATATCATTTTATATTATAAGATTATTTTTTGTGTCAAAATATTTCAGTGATACAAGTCTAACTAATTAATCCATAATTGGGGGAGAGGAGGATTCGTGGCTTCCCCAAGAGTATTTGCGCTCAAGTGAATAAAACTAACTCAACGGGAATTGGAACTCGGCTCTCCGATAAACAATTCCGAGTTATGTATTATACCAACCGCACATCCAAGTCTACAGCAAATGGTAATTCCAAGCGGTTACCCAGCTCGGTAGTATCATAACATTTAAACCGCCCCCCGGTGTCTGTCGATTCATATAACATTCAGGGAATCTCGAACTGAATTTTTTATTCAGTTTTAAGTGAGACGGAATAGCTCTTGATATTGTTTGTTAATGAATTGATTCTTTTTTACGGCTTATCAACTCATTGTTATGTAAAGCCAGAAAATATTTTTAGGTTTTAAGAACTTTCTTAAGCGGGATGGTGAGAATAATGGTTTAGGGATACAAGTCTTAATAATTAACTCGCAGTCAGCGGGAGAAGAGGTGATTTCATACCATTCACAAGGGGATTTGTGCGTAAGTGAATACAGGATGTTTCACAATTGTTGAAACAAAGCAACAGCCTCTCAAAGGGGATGAGCTCGGGGTGTGTGGGGACCTTGAAGACGAGGAACAGTGGTTTCAGCGGGATGATTCTCCTCCTCACACTGATAATTTTACCATAGCATGGTTCCGTGAAATGTTTAGAGAGCGTCTTATACAGTTGTCTTATGTCTTATAAATCGACCAAATATACAAATCTTATATAAGATGTCTGATAATAAAAATAGGCCGTTTTAATTTTTATAAGTCGTCTTATACAGCCGTTTTATGTCTTATAAATCGACGAAATATACAAATCTTATATAAGTCGTCTGATAATAAAAAATAAGTCATCTTAATTTTTATAAGTCGTCTTATGTCTTATAAATCGACCAAATATACAAATCTTATATAATTCGTCTTATAATAAAAATAAGTCGTCATATATTTTGTAAATTTGAATTTTCATTTTTTTTTCTTTATGATACCTTTTCTTCTTCTCTTTGCCTTTCTTTTCTTTCTATTTTGATTTGTTTTTTAATCATTTCACCTTAAATCAATAAAGCCACTAAGACGCAAGAAGTTACTGAATGAGATAATACGAGAAAAAAAACACTATTAAGGAACGGGAACAATAAAAGAACAAAAATTAAAAAGACAGTAGATAACGATTAACATTGCATTTACATTTTTGAAGATCGAAGTTCACTGGGAATCAGAAGACGGAAGAGAGTTCCACAAACGGGAAGTGCGAGAGAGAAGACATTGTTAGCATAGAACTTACGGTTACATCTGACCATTTCAATTGTAAAATAAGACCTTTTTGCTAACCTATTACTGAGCTTAAATTCATAAATTCTAGGTATCCTAGAGTAAAATTCCCCAGATCAATTACCATGGACTTATTTGTAGAAAAGGTTCGAAAGTGAACTTAGTAGTTTTTTTCCCTTTCTCCCCAGTTTATAATTCAGATATGTCCTTCTCAACCGATGACTGGCATCGAAAGCTAAATATCTCAGTCTGTTTTAGCATGTAGCTAGTTTTTTTCGTTGGAAAGAAGAAATGGGCTCCTGCCGTTCACAGAAACATTCGTGCACAGTGAACTCATCAGAGGAGACCTGAATTTATTTTCAGCACGTTGCTTCCACTTTCAGTCCTTAATAAACGTTATGCTTTTAAACATCTGTAAAGACGAGGGTACCCCATCTAGTACTGTGCTTAAATTCTACTTGCCAAAGAAGAAAGCTCATCCGAAGAATTACCATGAAAATATTTATAGAAAAGACACAAGGAAAGTGACTTTGTCAACATTAGCACGTGTTTTGAGAACTTGTCTACTTGGAATGTTTAGTTTCATCCCAAATTTTTCCGCAGGCTGATATTTTGCTAAAAAAACTTGAATCATTCAATAGAGCAAAATAACAGGGTGATTGAAAATTTTAAGATACTTATAATTTATTTATTAACTCATAATTTTATGAGAAATGGATATGAGGGGAAAGCGTTTTGCATGAGATTTTATTTAAAATTCAATATGGGCACCAGATTTCGTTAACAGCTTCTCGAGTCGCCCAGGAATCGCGACATCTGATTTCACCAAAAACTCTTGTGGTATGGAAGACATTATTTCTTGTATTCGCCCTTCAAGTAACTCCAAAGTATTAATTTGGTTCAGTAGACTTTCTCCTTTAATTTTAAAAGAAAAAAATTCACAGGGTGTTAAATCAGCACTTTAAAGCTGATTATTGCCAAAAAACCTTGCTAAATTTTCTCTAATCTCTTCAGGCATACATTTCTTATATAAGACTTGTGATAAAAGAGATGTACACGAGAATAGAAAACAATATTCAAGCGAAGTAGAAACAAAGAAAAAAATGTTGCAAGCAATGTGTAATCTAAAACTTCAAAAATAAACAATTGAAAATGCTAATCGTAATATTAACCGTTTCCTTATAAGGAAACATTAGCATTCACAGCAGCCAATACTGGCATTAGAATTCATAGCAGCCAGCACTAATGTCGGTTTAAATTTATAAAAATATTTCTCCAAAACAATTTTTCAGTACCCCAATTTACCAGTTATACATTTTTTTTAAAAAGTATTACCAGCAATAAAAATTTTGTCGACATTAAATAACCCATTGATGTTGATATTCCGTAAAACAAAACAAACCAAATCTATACACCCGTATACAGTCTGGTGCCTGGGCTAAAGTTTGGAATCCGTCATAGACATTAATCAAAAAACATGATCTATACATGTATTGAGAACTATTTAATACTACTTTTGGAAACCATTTGTTTGAAGTTCAACTGTAAATCTAGAGATTACTAACAAAATCCAAAGAAGGATCTGTAATGTAACCGATCCAGACGAGATATCTCGACTTAAGTCACTTTCACTGGTCACTCATTCATAAAATAGGGAATTACTTTTCGATCACCCTGTATATTTGTTGGTTATCCTCGAATTCTTCTTGACATCTCTGAAGAATTTTGTTGTTTTCGGGACGCTGCCATGTTTTTCATTTTTTTCTTTCTTTTTTTTTTTTGGGGGGGGTTCCTTTGAGGTTTTCCACGATGTGACCATTCTTGGATTTCTTAATAATACTTACAAGAATTGGATCTGGAATTTCTCTGGCTTTCACCTCGTAAGGAAAGACACAATATTTAACCTGATGTCCGCTCTAAGTTTTTAGATCTTAGTCATTGGTTCTGTCGAAAAAAATGACGACGATTCTACAAATATTTTCATGACAATTGTTCTGATGCACTTTCCTCTTTGGTGCCCTCGGCTGAATAAAACCTAAGCGCGATACTAAGCTGCAAACTTAGTCTCACCGATTTACTATTAAACTACCTAAATGTAACCATATGTTCTATTCTAATTGCTTCTTTTCTCGTACTTTTTGAATTCCGATTTTTGCTTCCCTCCCACTTACAATCTTCAAAAATTTAAATGCAACGCTAATCGCCATGTTTTGTCTTTCTAACACCTGTTATTTTTTGTCCGTTTTCCTCACTTCTCCCCATTAAGTTTTCTCATCCTCTTTCACTCCTACTAACACCATGCGTCCTAGTGACATTATCGCCTTCCTTGAGATGAAATGACTTAAAAATTGCAAATGCTAGCATCTTTTTTAATCCCAAACCTTAAATGTACTATGTCACACTATTTCTTTTGTTTTTTTTCGCTTCGACTGAAAGGAAATGTGAAACACTCCAATAAACTCAAGAAACTCAAATCGAAATCATATCTCGTCTGTTCCATTCTGTAAGTTATGAATAATTTTAAACGTGTCTTTTGTGATCAAATTGCAAATAACGCTTCAATTAAATTTAGTTCTTCTCCGTATTTTTTTATTGTTTCTTTAACTTTAGTTTTTTTTTATTTTTATATTGATTTGGGTATTGATAAAAACAAATTCTTTTAATAAAAGTGATTTTTTTAAACAATAAAATATTTGGTGGTTTATGAATAATTTCACGCTTATCCCTATCGATTGATCAACGGTGATGTTTTAGATGGATCGATCAGATTCTGTTTATATTACTCAGTTCAAATGACTTCAAGATATCGATCTAAATGCCCTCATAGCAATCCTCTCACTTCGATCTGACGCTGTACACTCTTTTACAAAATACAAGTACCGCCTAGAATAATCATGGTGATGTCATTTTTTTCATTATTCTGAAATCAACGCATCGGTTCAAATGAATATTTCACCCTGAATTTTTATATGCTTGGAACAAAATAATCGTGCTTTGGAGAAAATTATTTCAAAAATAATGAACTGGAAATACCAAATAAGCAAGGCGTCGCTGGTGGTGGAGATGGTGGCTCATTGAAGGATATATATATATATATATATATATATATATATATATATATATATATATATATATTATATATATATATATATTGGGCAACAATCCTTCTTTTTTATACAAGTTTCATTAAAATGACTTACAAGGGACTGCGGTTAAGTTTTTATCTAATTTTTATTGTGTTCCTATGATTCTCTTCTTTTCTGGACATAATTGTCCGCATGTTTTATATGTCCGAACGCTTTCGGCTATACTTTTAGCTATTATAAAGGATGATTGTATTTTAACTTTTAACTGAATTTATTAATTTTATGTATGTATCTAGAGTTATAGCATTGTTCTATTTTCCAAACACGGTCAGCACATTGTGGCCATATTCATAGTTGATGTGACTGAGTGTTGGCATTTTCTGTTTTATTAATAAAGCTTCCATTATTTTTAATAATAATAATAATAATAAGATTAACCTATCACTGGATGAATTTTAATTAGAACTCTTTTAAGCTTAATCTATCTAGATGACTCATGATAATTTTAAGACTGGTGGATTGTAAATTTTAGGAAAACAATTCTAGACGCCACGCAGTAATGTGTTAAATAGTTTTAGCGTCATAGCTTAGTATGAATTAATTAAACTAAACAAAGTATGAAACTTACTAATGATTAAATTTAAAGGGTGACCACAAATTGGGTGATAGATAGATAGATAGATAGATAGATAGATAGATAGATAGATAGATAGATAGATAGATAATTTAAAATTTACTATATTTATCAGGTACACTGCAACGAATAACACAGACTGAATAACTAAACAACAGAATTTATTGTAGAATGCCTTCTTGGTCTGGCAGAGAACTTTACACTATCACATACATATATATATATATATATATATATATATATATATATATATATATATATTTGTGTGTGTGTTGTCTTTTCTTTCTGTAATCTTTTTTTTTCTATTGTCTTTCTTTCAATCGTTTTCTTTTTTTCCATCCCATTTTGAGGAGGGTGCCTTAATTGACTTCCTTCCTTTTTTCCTGTTTATTCCATCTTGCCTATTCCACCTCCACGACCTCATCAATTCACCCAAATCCCCTCCCCTTACCCTGTACCCGCCCCCATTTTTATCTGATACGCGCCATTTCTTTCAACTAAAGAATCGAAGACCGCACCAGACATTGACTCTTCGTCTCTTCTTCCAGCCAACCGGCAACCACTGTCACCCACTTCACGAGTCCCAGCCCGGAAAAGCACTTCAAAGTAACAGTTGGCCAATCAATAAATACATATTTACGACTAACCTGAGGCACGTTCACTGAGTCTGCTTCCACGTTCATTTGGGGTAGCGACTACGATGGGCGTGAGGTGGCGATGTGGAGGTGTGAGATGCTTTACTGTGTTTTTTTTTTTTGCGTATGAATAGCTTTTGTTATTTCAGATAGATATGAAGATTGTTAGGTAGACATGAAAGATTGAAATAGATAGATAGATAGATAGATAGATAGATAGATAGATAGATAGATAGATAATGAAGGGAATGAGATTAATAAGTAGATATGTAAAAATGGAGATAGATAGATAGATAGATAGATAGATAGATAGATAGATAGATAGATAGATAGATAATGAAGGGAATGAGATTAATAGGTAGATATGTAAAAATGGAGATAGATAGATAGATAGATAGATAGATAGATAGATAGGAACAGAAATAGATATAAACTGAGTGAGATAGATGGATATGAAGAGACTCAGATATGAAGGGAATAAAAATACTGTGCTAGCGAACGGGAGGTGTGAGATGCTTTAGGGTGTTTTCTTTTTCATGTTTGAATAGCTGTTTTTTTTTTTTTTTCTTTTTTAGCGGAGGCGAATATGCACGCGCATGCGTGTGAATAACTGTAGTCAAAGGTTAGTTTATCCCTATGTGTGGATTTTCAAGTGCTAATCGTTAAATGAAGCTTTAATATGTCTCCAATAAAACAGCATTTGCCCATTTCAGTACGTGTAAATATCTATCTATACCCGTCAATCGATAGATGAGCTAATGGTCACTTAACGTCTGAAACAGCCAGTCACTATGCTGCCCTTTTCCATGGTCACACTGTTTGTATCTATAAACGTTCTATCTATATCTATCAATATTCACTGCTATTCTTATATAAACATATACCACATTTTAAACAGTAGATCGACATTTAAATCGCTCAAAATTCTGTTCATAGTCAGATTCCTAGCAGAATTTCACGATAACTCGATCTGCTGTAATAAGATGTTTATATATATTTAAAAAAAGAAGAATCCGCAGTATTATTGGTCATGATCTGGCATCCCGGCTTCAGTCACTTTCCCAACGCCGTAATCTAGCTTCCCTGTGCCTTTTCTATAAATACTTTCATAGTAATTGTTCTGATTAAGTTTCCGCCATGGACTAATTGTGAGACTTTGAGGTATTATGGTGACTGCAGTAAGGATGGCAGGTAAGAATGTGTTGTTTTGATGTAAGGAATACTTTATAATGTTTGGGTCAGTAATTGTGGCTAGCTAAGTTTAAGATAAGACAGATTGAAGACTATTCTTCTCCTACCCACTTTTGGCCTGAGTCACATTTTTATATTTTCAAAATAAATATTACTTTCCTCTACGTGACCAAGATTCTATGAATTTAAGCGCAGTATTAGAGTGGCAACAAGGTCTCATCAATTTACAGATGCAACTGTAAGTTTTATGCAACTTCTCGCTTGTGGAACTCACTTCCGGTTTCTGGCTTTCCAGCCAACATTGATCTTCCAAAAAGTTTAAAATGTAATGTCAATCGTTACCTTCTGTTTTCTTAATTCCTTAATAATGCTTTTCTCATTTTTTTCACACTCAGTAACCACTTGTGTCTCAATGGCTTTGCTGCCTTGCTCGGTGGAGTGAAATTATTTTTAAAAAATAATTATTATTAATTTCTACCTGAAGAGTCTTCAACCGGTAAGAAACTCCGAGTCGTGGAGAAGTATCGTAGCAACACAAAACGGGTTTATTATTCAATCTAAATAAATAAACGGTAAATTCTGTCTTACTGTGTGTCTGAAACACCTCTAACTCGGGCCACACTTGATCTACATAGACATAAACATTTTTAATGAGGATAATCCTGGGATTGAAAATCTGAGTCTCACCTGAGAACCGTTGAAAATTCAAATGTTAAAATAATTGAAAATGTATTGATTTTAAACGTTTTTAATTTATATTGAGTTTAAAGTAACACAAAATTTTTTTCAAATTCAGTTTAATATATATATATATATATATATATATATATATATATATATATATATATATATATATGTAAACTTTGTGAATGAGGGAATCAATTTTATTTCTTCAAAATGCCAAGTAATCAGAGTTAAAGTGAGAGGTTGTTTCGTGACGTGAGATTTTAGAGCTGCTTAGAGTTTACTTTAAAGAACTCAACTCAATTGAAGTCTTACGGCGTTTCTGATTTGAAGAACTAAATTTTTCGATCTGAATTGGAATCTCTGCCCAAATCGGAATTTAGGCCAAAAATGGTAGTTTCGGTCTAAATCATACTTTTAGTGGCAATTAGTCTTTTAGCCTGAATCAAAGTGAGGTTTTGAAGTTACATGGAATGAAGTGAGGAATTCAATGTCATTTCTTCAAAATTATCATTGGTGTTTTCTAAGCTGAACCAGAGATTTCTTTACTTTTGAGCCGGATGTCCAAATTAGCACTCCAAATGAACTAGCTCACTGAGTGCTGCTTTTAAGCTAGTAATAGAATAAGCTCTGTTTTTTTTTGTTTTTTTTTTGCGTTGAGCAATTGAGTCATTTAACCTTTAGATATCTTATTAAAATAGACGCCATTCTTAGTAAAAAGGGTTTGTAACCCCTTGTTTTGTTTTTTTGGGGGGAGTCGTTAGAAACGAAGAAAAGAGTACTTAACTGTTATGTAACATTTGTTCATCCTTTACGAGAGTGAATGCTGGACAAACTACTCAAAGATGAAGAAGAAATTCAAGGCAACAGAAATGTGGTACAGCAGAAGGATGATGAGAATACCATGGACTGAACATGTGATCAATGATGAAGTTTTAGAAAAAATGGAAACGAAAAGACTTATAAAAAAAGTAACAAAACCTATACGTAACATCAGGAAGAGGTAGTTGAAATTTGAAGAACGAGGAAGGAGTGCTTGGAAAATCTGATACTCACGAGACAGATTGGTAGAAAGAAGGACAGAGGAAAGCAGCGAGTAACATATTTGATGAGCAGAATGAGTAAATGGATGGCAGAACAGAGTTTAGGAGAGAATGCAAAGAAAGAAAAATTTTCCTTAAATAATATTTAAAAATAAAATTTAAAAATGGGAGCTGGTAATATACATACTTACATTTGATATGAAAAAATATAATTAAATAATGTAAGTAATTCTATTACATCTACTTATTTTTTAAAAAAAGAAATATAGTCTATTAGTAATTAAGAATAAAAATATTTTAAAATTGTAGTTAAATAAAACGTATTCTAACCCTTTAATCACCCCTAGAAAGAATCTTTAACTATATACAACTAAGAAAAAAATGCGGAAAAACTTTTTGCCGTTAATAATAATAAAAAATACCCAGACGACATGCATTTAACGGATGTCAGAATTCGTTGAAAAATACACCCCTACCCTTCCCTAATCTTAACCACTTTTTCGAACGTAACTCACAATTGATACAACAATAGTTAATAAAAATGAACACGCTACCGCCCCTGTCTGAATGATTGGATTTCTCTGTATCCTTGGAAACAGGAAATTATGAATTTATACGTGCGTTTAAAGCTCAGTAAATCTAAAAATAAGTTATTCCAATATTGGCTTGAAGATAAAACGGAACTAATGCTTTTAATCAAATTTAAAGTTTTTAGCTTCCATTTTTGAAACATGATTATTACTGTGTAGCGAAAAACCCATATTTTAAACCAGTTAATATATAAATATATATATATATATATATATATATATATATATATATATATATATATAAGTGTACACTGAGGACAACACCTAGCGGCGGCAGTCTGTTTCATGCTTAAACGCAATTTTCAGGCCATTTACATATGCTCTATCCATGGTAATGAAAACTTTAACCCATAGTGTTGTCCCTTTAACTTTATAGCATAGATTAAAATTAATTTTTTATCATGCACCATGTTAGCTCAGTTATAAATGATGGAAATGATAAATTTTGAATGAAAAACGCAAAAAGTCTGCCAAGTGAAGAGATGGTCCTCTCCGGCAAAAAGCGACAATCATATATATTAGGAAACGGGTGAATCTGACATATTTTTAATGGAAGCTTCTAATTGAGTAGATGCTCTATTTATATTATTAAATAGTATATTTATATCTACAGGTTTGAATATTCCAGAAGTCTTGTTAGAATAATATACGCCCTCGAGCAGGATCCGAAACAGCGTTTCATAGGGGAAACCGTCATTCAATCTGAAGTGCTTTGACTTCTTCAACATTGAACAGACAGATCTAATGAAGGTTTTCCCTACAGAACGCAGGTTCGAATCCTGCATATTTTCCTAACAAGATTTCTCAAATATTCAGGCCGATAAATGGAAATAAATAAGTATACTGTTTCATAATAAAAACAGAATGTCTACTCAAATATCAGTATCCCCTAAAGATAACCTTTAAACAAATAAGTTATATATATATATATATATATATATATATATATATATATATATATATATATATATATAATGGAATTATTTTTATTCCGACATTTTTTTTTATTACTGGATATTTGTGTTTGGAATAGAAATCCCGTTTTTGTATTTTAATCTGCGCATTTTATCGTCTTGCGCCCTCGAAAAACAATATAAAGAAAATGTGCACTCTGGTAAGTTTCGACTATATTAAGATTTCCCGGAAGCGCAGGCCAATAGCTGTGATACACATTTTTTTAAATAAAGACGTGGAGTTTATTTCAAACATGAGTATCCACTAAAAATAATGTTTAAATTAATAAAACTATACATGATGTGAAAATCAAAAGAAAATAGTTGAATACGCCAACACAGTTATAATGACAATATTCTCCACACGTGACAATAACTGACGTTATTTTCAGTTAACAATATGAAAATAGCGTTCCTCTACATTCCTCCAGTTGCTAAGAACATTCTGTTTTTTGTTATTATTAGTTACTTAATTTAATTAAATTCATTTCGTTTTTTTGCTTTGAGAAAATACACATTGGACGAAACGCGTCAGCAATAACTACAGTTTTCCTATTGTCATTTATATTTATAAAAACTATACATACATATATATATATATATATATATATATATATATATATATATAATTGAATGAAGTTGACAGATCCTCATACGTCGAAATCGATTGAAGAGTCAATTTTTATCACATATATATAAAAATGGAGTGTGAATTCAACATTAAGAGGCGATAGTTTGTTAAAAAAAACTTTCGGTCTGAAGAGATGTATATAAAAATATCCATGAAATAAATTATAACTGGTATGGATTTTTAAGGTGTCTTCTTAATTTATCAGTATATATATATATATATATATATATATATATATATATATATATATGCGATTGCATGGAGAGTCATTTGTGAGCTTAGGTTTCATGCTTTCAGATATCTTTTTTTTTTAAAGAAGCCACTCGAATCCGAGGATGCCTGTTTACTAGGGTGGCTAACTATCCCCATTACAGACGCCTGCTCAGGCACATTTGTGTTTGTTCAACACCCGCAGTGCACACCTGTGTTTTGTACTGCAACTATGTTGAGCGGGCCTTAGTTATAGTTTCTGGGAGAGGGCACAAGGTTAGCACGTTCAAACTCTCGGTCACGATGATTTGTGACTTCGTTCTAGCACAACCAACGCTTCTGTCTATCCAATTTCACTCACAAGGCTTGGGTCTACCCGTGGTATGCTTTTCAGGCAC